GGGTGCCGGCGTTTTCCACGGATGTGCTGTCCAGAGGAGCGCCCCGGGATTTGCCTTCGTTCCCCACGAGCCTGCCCCGGGTGCCCGGCGTGCCGCACGCACCTGCGCGCTTGGCATATAGGGATGTGCTGGCCCATGAGAGGCGCAACCCTTAGAATGGCCTTGAAGAAAAAAAATGAAGATATCACTTTGAGTGGGAGGCTCTGGTGTTGGGCCTGACATTGTGTTTTCTCTCACCAGGCTGTGATATTTCACATGACTGGGAACGTGGCTGCATCAACTCACGTTTTGCCAGAGGTGCCTGAGCTTCCAGCCAGCTTGGCACCAGAGTGTGCCAAAGACCTCTGTGTTACAAAAACGAAGCATGCAACCAGAGTAGATATTGATTCACAAACGGGAATCTCAAAGGCAGACTTTGCACCTGGCAGAAAGCTGTGGGTTAATATGAGCAAGAGTCCGTGGCTTCTTATCGCTGCTAGTGGACCTTGTGCCTGAGCTGAACACCTGTCTGCAGCAGAACGGGGGACAGCTCCGGCACCCTCGCTGCGGGTAGTAGCGTCTCGTCCTCCCCTTACTGCTGTGGAAAGCTCTGCTCTCCACACAGAGCAGCCGAGCAGAAGGTGCACGGGGCTGTTCGCAACACTTCTTTTTCTCAAGAGCAGCCCGCAGCCTCTCGTTGAGCTCCGCGGGGCGGGTGAAGCTGCCTCGGCGCTGCCACCGTGGCCCTGCATTAACCTGGCACAGGCAGGTTGCTTTCTGCATGCAAAATTTCCTGAGCCAGTGTCGTGCAGAGGGGCTCTGGACACGGAGCAGTGGGCAGCTCCAGTGTGGAGGGAGCTCTCCCTCCGGAGCAAGGCGGCAGGCAGAGCCCACACGAGGCCTTAGGTCTGAAAGGTGGATGCTTGGCACCAAGCAAGGAAAAGCTCAGCCTGAGGGCAGCTCCTGCAGCACGGGGGAGTCTACCCCTGTGTAGTCAGTGCTGGTCACTCAGCCCTGTCCTTTCCACTCACCAGTGGGAGAGAAGCCAGTGCTCGGGATAAACATTAACCCACCGCACTGAACAACCTTCCCGGGAATGCCTCTTCCTGGGGCTGCATGCCTGGATGCAGGAGTGCCGGGAGTGGCTTTGCATTCTTGTGTTGAAGGGCTTAGCTGCAGGACACGAAGACGGTTTTTAGTGAGGTTATAACCATTGCTTGTAGTTGCTGGGATGGTTATGAAGGCCCTTCCAGCCCAATATCCGGTGCCCAGGAAACAAGCAAACTAAGCCATCCTCTTCAGCATCAGGCCTGGGATCTCACAGCTTAGGCTAACGCAGATAAGGCTGCATCTAAAAAGCAACATGATGCATGCAGCAGAACTCACCAAGGGTTTCTTCCAGGCTGGAAAGACACCCCTTCTATTCACGTGTGCTACCCCGGCAGAGAGAGCTATTGGCCTCTGCAAGAGGGTCGAGCTCTGCCTTCCACCAAGTGACAGTTTTCAGAATTTCCCACTGGAGAAAACCTCCACTTCAGCAACTCAGCTATGTCTTGGAAAAGTCTCATTTATTTTTTAACAGGTCATTATATAACACATCTAGACCCATGCATATATTTATATGCTGCTTGGGTATGTTAGATTATGGCTTGGTCAGGTAGTGGATGCTTAAAGTGTCTCTTAAAAAAAAAAAAAAGGAAGCTTTTTAGCTGTTGCAAAAGGCTCTAAGAAAAAATATGCTTCAAACACACTTCTAATTTTCATTGCCTTCCTTTAAAAAATAATGCTTTTTGAATGTTCACAACAGGAACAAAAAATTATTTATACATGTACACAAACGTACATTATAGTATGAGTAAGTTAGATTAGCAGTATCGTCTTGTAAAAGCCTGCTGCCCTTCAGGCTTTTCTTTTTAGAGAATATCACCAGTCTCCAGAGATGTTTTCATCTCCTGCACTTCCAGCGTGTGCAGCTCTCAGTGACGGGCAAGGGATCCACCTTGCTTTTGCCCAGGTAGCCTTCTGCAGGGCTTCTGCTCCTCCCCACACCTAATTTCAGCTTTGATACTTGGCCTCCGTTTCTCAGCTCCAATTTCCTTGACTCCTTGAAATTGCCTGACTTACGGATGGCAGCCAAGGCAGAGCTCAGGCACACCTGCACCCACCAGCTGTGTGATTTCAGAGGCTGTTCCCCTGCCCGAGAACAGCGCAGCGGTCCATGTTCCTCCTCCCTCTCTGTGTCACAGGCGGTTTAAAGGGTATCAACCAGCAGTGGGGTCTCACTTCCAGCTGAGTCTAAAAACGTAGAGGCTTCCCTTACAGCGGGAGGTGCTGCACGCTCCACGTGCCAGCATCACAACCACATGTGGAACAGAGCACCACTTCATAGGGCAGCAGAACCTTTTCGGGGAAAGGACGCTGTGTTGGTCAGAAGCACTAGCACTGCCTAGATCTGGGAAGCAGTGAGCTGCAAGCAGGGAAACCCTCCAGCCCAGGGAACGGGGAGAGCAGGTCTGGGGGAGACAGATATCCAATTCCTCTGGCAGAATGAGACCCCTCTGTGTACACGACACCCCTGGATGCAGCTGCCAGCCCCAGCAATATTAGCAGGGTTGGGTTTTTTTTTTTTTTTTCTTTTTAAGAACCTGAAGCTAAGTGTTTTGTTTTACAAGTGTCTTACTGTCCATTAGCAAAAATCCCCATAACATGAGGCTCTGCCAATCAAGCGGGCTGCAGTTTCACATCAAGATGAGAGTTTCTTTCTAGAGCAAACTTGTCTCTGGATGGTGGAGGGCTGCCAGGGTCAAGCTAACCCATGGATGGCTCTGCTAGAAGCACAACAGAGAGGACAGGCAGCTCCAAGGATTTCCCACCCCAACAGGGAGTCATACCTAGTGCTCAATGCTCAGACACCAGACTCCCTGGGAAACAAATTAACTAGGGAGGCAGCTCTTCCCTCCCACAACCATTTCACTTGTCCCAGCCTGAGTTACACAGGCAAACGTCTTTCAGCTCCTGCACCTCCCTCAGGGTTCACTATCACCTGGAGAAGGTGGCATGACTCAGACACCTACTACAGTGTTACACACACACTGTCCTGGAAGTCTAGCCAAAGAGGTCAGCGTGCGCTCAGATAACATATTCTCCCCCTAACCAGTTCAGAAGCTTTAGGCACTAGTGAGTGAGTGCTCTTGGTTCAGGTTTTAGTGATTTTACTTGTGCAAAAAGTTATATTTCAACTCTCCATCAGAGAAAGTGGAAAAGACCTGCACTGTGAGTCATTTGCATCATGTGCACTTCTGACACACTACCACAATTAACACTTCCTATGGGTCTTCACCCGGAGTTATGGACTGCACAGGTCAAAGTGCACTTGGTGGGGGAGGTGTGAAAGAGGATTAAATCCCTCTGAAACCTTCCCATCCATTACAAGCCTGGCTAGGTCCCTAGGTCTCTACCACCTTCCCTTCAGGGGCCAGTGAACTCCTCCTGTGATCACCTCCCTCCATCTGCTGCTTCCCTCACAGAGGGCTGCTCCTGATGACCTTCTGCGAGGTGGGAGAGGAGCGATGAGGAATTTTGCTATATTTCTTCTTCCTCTTCACTGACAACTTCTTTCACATCTTGAGGTCCCTGCTCTGCTCTCTCTTTTACATAGGCTGCCTTGATCTGTTCCAGCTCACACAGCTCTGTCTCCATCTCTTCCCTGTGCATTGTCCGACGGTTCCTCAGCAGTTTCATGGGGAAGGGATTTAAGTCATTGAAGGCAATGTTCATCAGTTTCCTAAGATGGGAAAACAAACAAACAAACAAAAGGTATACTGAATCCATTTACTGCCAGAGTTAATCCATTTACTGTCAGAGATGGTACCAGATACCCACATGTTTTATGGGAATGCGTTTTCCCAGACCATCCTGCTCCAGTGAAGCTTGCTATTCCCTACCACAGGATGCTGCATACCATCATCTCAGATGTAAGCTTTCTAAATTCAAGACTCACCAAGCAGCTGTGGTCCAAGTGAACCACAGGCAATTCCTTCTTATACTAAACACTGTCCCAAGCAGCATTTACAACAGCCCCACCACCCCATCTCCTAACAACAGGTACATCACTGTGCAGAGATCACCAGTCTGACAGGAGACGGAAGATTGGAAGCCAATTCTGATACATTGTGGTAAGGAAGATTCCCTATTTACAGCTCCTCTGGCAAAAGAAACTTTTCTCTCAAGTGCATGTTGACATTAAAGCCTGCGAGTGCTGTGGTCCTGCATTTCCCCAGAGCTAAAGCTGAGAGAAGCCCAAGAAACAGCAGTACAAGCTGCAGTTATTGCATAAAGGAAGGAGCCCTAGACCCTGTGACCTGCTCTGCTGCAACTTGCCTTCGACAATGCCAAACAGGCTTGAAGTAACAGCATGAAGGGAAAGTCAAGAGGAGGCATGTTGTTGCCTTCTGTTGAAGGTCTGGTTACAGTTCTCATTAGGCTGACATAACACACAGGCAAAATTAATCTAGGGGTAGGAATCTATTTACAAGCCACTGTCCTACCTGCCATCCACAATCATCCTTGTGAAAAAACGAAGGTACTGGTAGATCTCCACATTGTCATGAATCCTCAAGATTTCTTCCTCATTGTATTTGAAAATCGCAAGAGCATAGCGGAAAATCACCTGGAGGATTGAGAGGCATTTGAGTAAGCGGAGTATGTGGCAGTGGAGAGACTGGGCCCTCTTGGTGTAGAACAGAGGTGGGAGGAAACCACTGCAGCACAAGCTGGATGTAGGGCCCCTCCCACGATCTATAGCTGCTTGAGGGCATGCCTAAAAAACTAGGGAGTTGATTCCAAGGGAATGACCTTCAGAAAGCTGTTCTGTAACCCCGGAGTATAGCAGATGGCCCCAAATGACCACAAAGGGATTTTGCACAAGGTTCCTCCAGCTCTCTGTATGCACGGAAGCAGTAAAATACAAACATTTTGGGTAATGCTAACTGCCTGCCCATCTTATGTTCCCTGAATCTTTCACACTGAGGTGCATGTGGGTTGCAGAGCAGGGGACATCACGGTCTGTCACAGAGCAGTTCCATACTAAGTGGTGCCAGGCAGTGTGCATACGGTCAGGGACTATGTTTGCCTGCAGGCAGCAAGGACACACTCAACAGGGAGGACTGTATGTGGGGTATTGAGGCACCCCACTGAAAGGGGCAGAACAAGAGGCTCAGTGCCACATCTCTTGGACTCGTGTGCCTGACCATCATGCTGGTGTCATGTCATGGGGGTGATGCAGATGGTTTGAGAAAGGTCTAGACTTAGGTTTGCACCTTAGTTCCCTCATACAAGAAGGCATCCCACACTCGCAGGAGGATGTCGCTGACCAAGCTGTCCACGAAGGCCACCAGAAACCAATTGAAAGTGATGAGGGAGACATCAATCCGATACTGTTCAAAATGAGCCGTGAGGCGAGGCAACTTCTCTGACAGGAAGTCTTTGAAGACTCTCTGATCTACCTAAAGTTGACAAAGAAGAAAACAAGGAAGAACCTGGCAAGTGCAGTCTTGGTTGGAGGAAGGAGCAGTGCAATGGAACAGTAGCCCACTCACATTGCAGTACTGACTGGTGTTGCCTTCTCCCTAAACAGACTCTAAGAAGGCCAGAGGATGCCTTGTCTCCCAACAGCTCTAAAGAACTGAGCGCTGCACAGGTACACTACAGGAATGCAAGAGTGTGGCACTAAAATAGGGTCTACATACATGCAGAGATGTGTTCCTCTCACCCAGAGAATTAATCATATACCTTAATGAGCTCAAAGGCAAGACCGAAAATGCTCCACATCTCCCCACATCAGTCTTATTGAGATTTGTTTGTAATGTCAGCAGTATCCATATGAATGACAGGGACTAAAAACCTATCTAGATCAGGATCTAGGATCCTTCTGTGACTTGGCAAGCAGGTATTTATCTTCTCACTAGCTTCTCTTTGGGTGTTGGGCACTGCCTGCACTTTACCTCTGGATGCATTGGCCAAGGTAAGGGAGGATCTTTGACTGGGTCATTGACTCAAGTTAATACAGGCTTTCTCTCCAGGAGACTGTGGTTTTATGAGGAGAAGTAAAGCAAGACTAGGGTTACTGCCTTTTCCCTAC